GGTGCAGTGCCTTTTGTCCGAACCAACGTACCTCAAACCCTCATGGTAATGATTTTTGAGGATGTTAATGGATGCCGATTTAATTGATAGCGTGCTAGTGGCCAGAGACATTCAACTTGATTTTCGGACGGACTACCAATCCTTACAACCGTTCACTGACTAGTGGCGGATCCTCAGGAGGAGAAGGCGCTCTTATAGCGCTCGGTGGATCCATCCTGGGGGTAGGTAGCGATGTTGGAGGATCTGTCAGAATCCCTGCTGCTTTCAACGGCTTGTACGGTCTTCGACCTTCTTACAACAGAATTCCATATCAAGATGCCGTTAATTCGATGGAAGGACAAGAATCTATATATTCAGTTTTCGGACCACTATCACCTAGAATGTCTGGTATCAAGGCTTTCACGAAAGCTGTGATCGATTCAGAGCCATGGCGAAGAGACCCCGTCGCTATTCGCAAAGCTTGGGATGAGAAAGCTTATCAACTGGAGGAGCATGGAAATGGCCAAAACCTTGTCTTTGGCATTCTCTGGGACGATGATTGGGTTGTTCCACACCCACCAGTCAAGAGAGCCCTTCAAAGGACTAAGGATGCCCTTCTTAAAGCCGGCCACAAAAGTGAGTGCGAAATCTGCTTTTAGTTTCGGCGACGAATGTTCTCTGGCAGCCGTTGATTGGAAGGCATTGAAACATGGAGATATATACGCCGTCGGGGTGCGCATTCGAATGCCGTGAGTGAAGGCAGGCTAATGATTGCCACAGGGTGCTATCTGGGCTGCTGATGGAGGCAAGGACTTTGATACTACTTGCGCTCCTACAGGGGAACCCTTGATCTCCACCATGCTCCCCTCCAGCACTGAAGATACACCTGAGCCACCCGCATTCCGCCAACGTGCCAAAAAGACTGCATATGAGCTCTGGCAGATCCACAAACAGAAGCGAGCCCTCCGCAAAGAGTACCTAGACTCCTGGGAGGCGACAAAGAGCGTAACTGGAACCGGACGACCTATTGATGCCATCATATCTCCTGTGGCCCCTTGGGCACCTCCACCTCACGGCAAAAATACGTATGAGAATTGATCTTTTAAATTTATCAAGTCGTTAACGTCCTTTCATCCTAGCTCGGCTGCATACACTTTGATCTGGAACACTCTTGATTACGCTGCTTGCGTCTTTCCAGTGACAACTGTCAACCCCGCCATTGATGTCGTCGCGCCCCCACACGACTTCAAGAATAAAGATGACCAAGCCACGTACGAGCTATGTAGGTGCTTTTCCACCCAAGAATATCTCAGTTATTGAGCAGCCTTGCAGACGATCCCGAAGTATTCAAAGGAGCACCAGTGGGATTGCAGGTCGTAGGCCGCCCTCAAGAAGAAGAGGCCGTCATTGCACTGACGGAAATCGTTGCCGCCGCTTTGAAAGGCCTACCTGAGTGAACGGATTAATTGTGTAATACGCGGGGAACATGTAATGAATCTTTTGAATTTGCATATGGTATGAAGATTCATCGTCGTGCTTCGTTGATGAAGATTGCAGCCGCTCCCATGCCACTTCCAACACACATGCTTGTACAAAGTACACTCTCATTTCGTCGTCTCAACTCTGAAAGACCTGTGATAGCTTGGCGAACGCCAGCTATACGCGCATGATGTTAGAGTGATCAATGCAACTGGATCAGTTACGTACTCAGACCCAGTGGATGAGTGAGAGCAATTGAGCCCCCGCTATCAGAGAACGTGTCAGGGTTGACAACCAGCAAGTGGAAACTGTACATACTTCGGGTTGATCTTCTCAATCGGAATGTCCAGAGTCTCGACACAGTAAGCAAACTGGGAAGCGAATGCCTCATTAATCTATACAGAAGTCAGAAATGCCGGAGGGAGGGAGTAAAAGATGATGTACTTCGAAGATGTCAACATCCTCCTTCTCCAATCCAAAACGTTCGAGGACGGCGGGAATTGCTTTAATGGGCCCAACACCCATCAACTTCGGCTCGACTCCAACAACGGCACTTCCAATCCACTTCCCCAGAATCTCCATGCCTTCCTTTTCCGCGCGATCTCGTCTCATCAAGAGCACGAGTCCTGCGCCATCGCCGACGCCGCTGGCATTACCAGCGGTTGTGGTAGCAGGGCCCCATTGAGGAAACACAGGCTTTAGTCCGGCAAGCGACTGGGCGGTGACACCAGGACGGACCGTATCGTCCTGCGCCAAGATCTTGTCAGATAGCTTGATAGGTAAGATTTCGTCATTGAAGAATCCACGTTGGAGGGCCTCTGCCGCCCTTGTGTGGGAGATGAGAGCATAGTGGTCTTGCTTCTCGCGCGAAATTCCATACGCTTCTGCTACCATCTCTGATGTCCACCCCATAGGTTGGACAGCGTCGTTTGCTTTGGTAGTTTTGGCAACACCTTCTGAAAGCATAGGTGTAGGTCGAGGGCTGGAAATAGGTGAATGGGGTACCCTCAGTGCATTAGTAAAACGACGAACTGCAGGGTCATGCTCTCCACGCCCAACGCAAGTCCAATTTCTGCATCTCCAGCTTGGATTGAGTGTGCGATACTTCGGATAGCCATGAGACCAGAAGAGCATAATCTGTTGATAGTTGATATGGGCACGGAATCTGGAATACCGGCAGCAAGGGCGGCGGCTCGAGAGATATATAACGGCGAAGGAGGATGACATGTGCCTAAAAGCGACCGAAAGTCGGTACAGCTTTCCAAGAGGACATGGATTTCGTACCGACAGCGATATCATCGATTTTGGCTGGATCTAGCTTGGTCTTTTCCAGTGAAGCCTAGGGAGTCTGTTAAAAGCCGTGTATGAGATTCAAAGGGAACTGATACCCGAAGGAGTTCAGACAGCAACTCATCGACAGGGACATCTTTGAGTTGGCCCTTTTTGGCTTTGCCCATTGGAGAACGCATAGCAAACGTTATGACAACATCACTGGCATTCTTCTGCAAGAGAGCCTGTACAGCAGAGGACTGACTAGAAGCGGAACGAGCAAGGATGGGAGCAATGGCTTTCAGACGGCGAGCCAATGAGGCAGACATGGGTTGAAAGAAACTAGAGACATTGCACTGTGACTGACGACAAAGACCACGGGTTCTGTCGGAGGTTGATTCAGGCTGATAGCTTGCAACGCCGCGGACCTTCGCGCTGCCCTCGAGCTTCAAATGTTCCAGTAAAGCACGTTCAAATAAATGTCACTACACGCACTAGAGCTACACATCGGAAACAGTGATGAAACTCGACTACCGTGTGCTACCCTCTCGCCGTAACATCTCAATGCCGCAACCAGTAAACCTGTCACCTATACTGAGAACACCGAGTCAGCATCAGAAGTAAAGATGATCACGGAACATAGAAAAGAAAAACAAGGCTCAGAAAGTCATTCATGTCATCTGAACGCCAAAATAGCGCCGAGAATCTACTAAGAGGTGCCAGTGGTGGTCGATAAGAACTCGACACTCGTCATAGCCAAGGAAATAAAGATACGGGAGTAACAAGAGTACGAAAAACACATGAGGGGACACCTTACCTGACTTAATAGAGTGGTTGCGTTGAAAGATGTAGATGAAGGAGAGAAAGAGCAGAGAAGAAACCGCTGCTATATACTCACGTTTTTGAAACTCCGCTCGAAATATTCCCGAACAGGAGTTAAGCGATTCCTCCCTCGTCCTCATCGACAACAGCGGCGCCCGCCCTATCCCTCAAGGTAAGTTCTCTAAGATACTGCCATTCATCCCGGGAGAGCATCTGAATTGTGGCTTTGTGATATGGTGATGGCTCATTGTGTCCTTGTGGATGGATGGCATAGCTATACAGTGGATGTCGATCTCTGATCCTTGACCCCGACAGACTAACCTACATCCTCAATCATGTCCGCTCAGATCAGCAAGAAACGCAAGTTCGTTGCCGATGGTGTCTTCCGCGCTGAACTCGGAGAGTTCTTCACTCGTGAGCTCGCCGAGGAAGGTTACTCTGGTTGCGATGTCCGTGTGACCCATGCCCGCACTGAAGTTTGTCGTCACTCTCCGCGAAGGTCGTTGAAGCTGAATAAAGTGTTCCAGATCATCATTCGTGCCACTCATACCCAAGAGGTACTGGGTGAGAAGGGACGTCGCATTCGCGAGCTCACTGCTCTGGTGCAAAAGCGATTCAAATTCCCCGAGAACAGCTTGGAATTGTATGCCGAGAAAGTGCAGTATCGTGGCTTGTCTGCTGTCGCTCAGTGCGAGAGTTTACGCTACAAGTTGTTGGGCGGTCTCGCTGTTCGAAGGTGTGTATCTTTCTGCTGACCCTTTCAATATCTTCCTCTGATTGTTTTTCAAGGGCTTGTTATGGTGTTCTCCGTTTCGTCATGGAGTCTGGTGCTAAAGGTTGCGAAGTCGTCGTCTCCGGCAAACTTCGTGCTGCCCGCGCCAAATCCATGAAATTTACCGACGGTTTCATGATTCACTCCGGTCAACCCGCTCGTGACTTTGTTGACTACGCTGTCCGTCACGTTCTCCTCAGACAGGGTGTTTTGGGAATTAAAGTCAAAATGTACGTCGGTTGCTCGGGCTCTGCTCGATGATGTCTCACACGCCCTCTTAGCATGAAAGGTTGGGACCCCGAGGGCAATCTTGGTCCCAAGAAGCCCCTCCCTGATACCGTTACGATCATCGAGCCTCCTATCGACAAAATTGTCGGTGAGCCTTCCTCAGAACAGAGAGGTCCCGCTGGACAAGAAATTCCTCAACCGGCTGCCGAGGAGGCATACACTCAGCCCGCTGCAGGCTATGAGCAAGAGTTCGCTCAGCCAGCACAGGAAGCTGCATTTTAGTACTGTTTTGTACCTTTGCCATAGTTGTTTCATAAAAAACGTGGTTCATGAGCACAACATACGCCTTATATGATGCCAACTGCGCTCCATTGAACCATTCATCCTTAGTGCAGCAGGCAGTGACTCAGCAGCCTCAACAGATGATTCCAGCAAACGGAAAAAAAAGTATCGTCAGTGGCAGGGTTCGAACCTACGCCCGCAAAGCGGATCAGATAATGCGTTATTCAAATCTGACGGATTAAACCACTCTCCCACACTGACATAATGAGGGTGGAGACAAATGACAGTCAAGACAGCCAGAGGCTGAGCATGACCCTGCAGACGAGAAAAGCATGCATCCTATACTGGCTATACATTTAACAATCTATCTACATCATATCTTTGAATCCACAGAGAACTGTGAAACTGGTGGAACGAAGGACTGAGGCCCACTGCTCGTGTCTATCTCATCCTCAGTGCCTGGGGTACCTGGATCATCGACGACCTAAGGACAATGATTAGAGCCACTTCTGGTCGGCAATTACATCGAGGAGGTTGGGCTAAAATTCATTGCCGCTGAGTACGTACCAGTCCATTTGTCGAAACGCGAATATCTTCGAACCCCCAATCTCTCGCTACTCCACCAGAGAGATGATCCGCAGAAGCCAATTGCTTCAGGGCCCATGAACCCAGAACTCCCTTCTGATTAGATCTATCTGCTGCCACCGCGGTAACCGAACAGCATCCAACACGGAAAGAGAGATCCCTATTGCCGACCAGTTCTCGAGTCAAGGCAATGACAGTTGCAGCATGAGAAATCAACAAAATATGTTTGTGACCAAATGCATTCTGAACGCGCGGCACGAACAGCGAGAGGAAACCGCCAACACGTGAGTGAACTTCCTCGACAGTCTCGCCCTGCCGCGAAGGAATCCACGTAGGAGTCCATGAAGGATCAATGCCAGGAACATATTTCAGCAGGTCGGGAGGCAAGGATGGCCGAGGATGTAGTCCCGTTCCAGGCGCAACTGGTGAATACCATTCTGACAATCCTAGAGACAGCATGTCATGTCCAACGTTCCCACATGTGCAAGACTGATTGATATACCGTGTTCGACATAGATGGGAAGACCGAGTGCTTCGGCGCAAGGAACCGAGGTCTGTAAACATCTGTCTGTGCTCCCGAAACAAAGACTTTGAGGAAATGAATGCGATTATGATAATGTGGCTCACAATATGGCGACGAGAAAATAGCTGTCGGTCGTTCTTCCTTGGGTAGACCGAGGAAATAAGCGGCGAGCTCCTTAGATTGAGCCTTTGATCAGAACGACGATTAGCAGGTAGACGCTACGTTTGGGTGGAACTTGCTTCTCCATATGCAGCTAATGGCGGATCTTTTGGTGTACCGGTGACGTTGGGCCTAGAGCAGCTCAGATAAAGCAACATCGCATCTCGGCGGGGGGGGGGACAGACCAGTTCTGAGTCACCCAATTCAGTCGAAAGCCTATGTGTGAGGGAATAGAATTTCGAGTGCATAGACTATCGTATGTGCTTACCGTGTCTCGCGATGTAAATAGTATGTGGCGCAGCGGACATGCTTGACGACGACTTGGAGAAGCCAAACCGGAGGAACCACCGGCTCTACTACAATCGGCTCGTGTATACCGTTATTAGCATACTTAAGCTCCTCAAAAACGGAAATCTTGCAACAGTGTCACGCAGAAAAGTACATTATGCATATGCATGTAGACATAGTGTCATTTTGGAAGCATCGACATGTAATTAACGACATGACACCCGGCTACCACGACCGCGCACGGTAAGCACAATACGGAAACACTCAGGCCCGAAAACACATCATTGTTGCCTTCAAGACGATGTAACCTTGGTAATCGCAGTTTGACGCAGCTTGATCGCTGCAATCTACATGAAGGATTAGCTATGCACGGGGCTCAGTGAAAAGAGAACGAACCTTGCGCTCGTGGAAGGCCTGAGCCTTGATTTTTCTCTTCTCCTCGAGACGGTCAACAACATCCTTGTATCCCCAACCGACTTCGTGGGAGAGGCGCTGATTCCGGATTTAATGAAGCACAATCTAAGTGAATGCAAGATGCTGTACCTTGACAGTGCAGTACTTGCGACCAGGCTTCAAACGCAAGACTCGAAGGGCTTCAGGAACGACCATGCGCTTCTTGCGATCAAAAGGAGGGGGGATGCCCTCGAAAAGTCTCAATCGTTCGATGGCAGCAGCACCGCGAGCAGTCTTGTGGGGCAACATGCCACGAATGGCTTTGAAGAGAATCTTGGAGGGTGCGCGGTGATGGAAGGGGCCGGACTTCTTGGGGTTTACGATGTGACGCTTGTGGAGGAAATTGTGGTAGCGAAGCTGCCAGAGTCAATACGTTTTCACTCGGCGAGGATTGGATAATTTGAATGCTTACTTTGTTGCGGAAAAAGCTGCCACTGATGTTGATCTCCTCACACCGAACGACATCGATTTTCTGCCCTGAAAGGATTTGCTTGGAGATGATGGAAGCCAGGCGACCCAAGAGGTGACCCTTGCCATCAATCACGATGGGGGTGGAGGAGAATGTCGACATGTCGGGTCTGCAAGTATTATGGGGCAAAGTGTGAGCGGCAACAGCGAGTTTGTGGCAGAGATTCGAGACCTTACCTTGAGGATGTTGATGAGTCGGAGCACGCTTGAGCTAAGGTTCTAAACTGTACAGTTTCCGGCCTTTGCCGAACGTTTCCCATTTCACACGCTCGTCCGTTAAGTCCGCACTCGACGCTGACACAACCTTCCCAGTTCAGAGTGCTAGATTATACAGTCATGTCATATTTCAACCAGAGAATCGAGTCTTCACAAACACAGCATCAGACACGATATTCAGAGTTTCGCGGACGGGTCTCAGCGTTGGCTCAAGTGCCGAAGATGTGCGGACTGCATAAAGTCTTAGATATGTACATAGCCTTGGGGGGCACAGACTGGGTACATGCACAACGGTCATACAATATATCACGAATCCTCAATACACGGATGTCACTGGTGAACACTATTCAGAATCAGGGAATGTAGTGTTCAGAACAATGTCATATTTTAGATCCAGAGCAAGCTCAACACGAGCCAATTATCGAAAGCGCTGAGGTGACTGATCACTGGCTTGATCCCAGCAACTGAGTCCTGACGAGCCCAAGCCGCTCCGATCCTGTTGAGCATGAGCCATTCGTTGCACCTGACATTCAAGCCTGCCATCGGCCCATGGCAGTGACGGCATTGTATTGGGACGGAATAGACACTCCAACTACTTGCTTTGAACCGGGGAGAACGACGGTGTCCAAGGATGTGGGAGGTAATGGCAGGCCGGATGATGGAAAGCATGAGCGGATCGCAAACATTGATTGTGATGTTTGCGTAGCCCCGAAGCCTAAATGATAGGTGATTGAGACGATATGGGCTCCAGCCTTTCCTGCACAGAACAAGTAAATGGTATTCAGCCTTTGGCACAAGCGGATTGTACGAGGGCGAACTGAGGCAGCCTGTGGGCCTTCAGGCGTACTGAACGGATGGAAGGACTGTATTCGGTAGGCCTTTATCCGTACAAAGAAACAAAACTGACTGTAGGCCTTTACCCATAAAGCGCCGAGATGAGTGAAGGCCTTCATCCAAACAGAACGCGTTGAATGTATTTCGTAAGTAGCACAGAACGGTGCTCAAGACGGTTATTGATGATTGGGTGCGATAGATATTTCGAGCCGTGTCCCGAACATGAGCAACTTAAAGAATGATGGACGCAAAGGGGTAGCGTCGGTGAATCTGGAATACATTGTAGAGCATCATAGTAGAAAAGGCAAGGAAAAGATGATGTTGCCAGACCAATGACGACCTGAACTTTTTGCCAATGGTGGTCATACAACGAATGGCATAGGAAGTCTGGCCCCGAATCGTGCCAATGAGGTTTTGGCTGGTGAGAAACGCGAGATAAGAGCCTACTAGTAGTCGGCCTAATTAGGGCAGGGAGGTTCTCAGATGTTCCGCTTGTGGCAGAAGGCCAGACGGCCGTCTGAACGGTCGAGTGAAGGGAGCGAGATGGATGAACTAGAAGACCTAAAACTTGCTTCGTAATCAGAAGGTCAAGTTGCAGAAAGTGCAGGCTGTATATGATGTGTGATGGATTATCAGCACGAATAAAAAGAAAACAAAGACAGAATATCAATGCGAGATAAGCCATCACTGGCGGCGGGAGCAAGGTGTGTTGCCTTTCGCACTCCGCTTGACCGTACGTTAGAACTTGGCCAAGCTCTGCACGGGAAATCTACATCATGTTCGTAATATGATAGCATTTCCATGATGATTCATAGCGAACGCAAGGCTTATGGTAGAGAACATGATACAAAAGAATGGAAGAGATAGCGATGAATGATTTCTACTCTTCCGAGCGCAAACGAGCAGCAGGATTTGTGACACTCACTCCCAATGCCTTCGCTCTGGATATTCGAATATGATTAGAATGTATGTGAGACAGAACTAAAGGCTACATACCTCTCCAGGATGAGAATGCGGTTTCGGCTGCTGACGCCGTGTGCAATCTCAGCAGCAAAGCTTTTGTTGTGCATCAGAAGAATATCAACTTCTCTGACGTTGTTGACCAGGAACTTCTTCAATCCGTTGGGCAACAAATGGCGGGTCTAGGACAGAGGATCAGGGACTAGAAATAGCGTGTGGTGCGAGGGGGGTACTTTTTTGTTACTACCGTATCCAATCTGTGAGGAGGGTGGTCAGGTTAGCGTGCACATCGAACCTAGCAGGAGTGGGCGTACCTTGGGCATAGGAAGCTGACCCTTGAACCGACGTCGCACTCTGTTATCGATACCCTTCGGTTTCCGCCATGCCTCCTTCACACCGTGGTACCGATCAGATTGGTGGCGTCTGGGGCGTTCGTGAGCGAAGAAAATTCTGAGCGACGATAGACAACGTACTTGAAGACCTTGGTCCGCTTCTTAACAATCTTGATGGACATGGCGGCCTATGCAGAAGAAGAGTCAGAAGACAGAAAATGCGAAGCGCCCAGCTCAAAGGTTCGAGGTAGCCAGGTAATCCTCAGTACGGGTCTCGCATCCACCGCCTTCCCTGGAGCTACGACTCTCAAAATCCCGATAGATGCATGCTATCGGCCACCAAGAACGTCTTGAGATAGCTAACTGGTCCTGTCACTTACCGAGTGTCTGATCTTGAAGGGATGTGTCGAGGGAAGAGACTCTTCTTGATGATGTTCGGAGTT